CTGTGTGTCGTCCCTACGTTTCCCCCCTTCTGTGTTTGCAATTCCCCCCCCAAATCACCGCCAGAGCTGTGTAATCCACTGGCGTGTAGCCAGCGTGGCAATTAGCCCATTAGTGAGATCTGCGCCATTCTGGTTTGAGTCTCGCTTTGCCTGCTCCCAATGGCCTCGTTACCTGGCTTGGCCTGACGCCAGCTTCCCTTGAACTAAACCGGATGAGTGTGAGACATGAGCACAGACATTTAATGTGTGTGGGCGGGGGGGGGGGGGAGTTTCTGTTCTTTCTGTGTAAGAGCCTAGCAGGCAGCGGAGAGCCCTTGGCACAGAAATCCCTGCTCCCAGCTCATGTATGCAGCTAGGGAAGTGACACAATGGGGAAACTGAGGCACGATGTGGTTAAGTGACTTGGCCAAGGTCGCACGGAGACAGGGATAGAACCCAGGAGTCCTGATTCCTAGCCCCGCTCCCTCCCCCTCCCCTTTGCTCTAACCCACTGGTTCTCAAACTTTTGTACCAGTGACCCCTTTCACATAGCAAACCTATGAGTGCGACCTATGAGTGCAAACCTCCCTTATAAATTAACCCCCCACACACATAGTAACCTTGTGACCCCCTGAGGGGTCTAGACCCCCGTCCCTTCCCGGAGCCAAGGATAGCACCCAGGAGTCCCACGAGGAAAATGCACTAATATCATGCTGCAGTGAGTCCCACAGAAACACCCCACTAACATCTAGTGCAGGGGTCGGCAGCCTTTCAGAAGTGGTGTGCCGAGTCTTCATTTAATCACTCTAATGTAAGGTTTCGGGTGCCAGTAATATATTGTAACGTTTTTAGAAGGTCTCTTTCTATGTATGTAAAGTAAATAAGGTTTTTAAAATGTTTTAAGAAGCTTCATTTAAAATTAAATTAAAATGCAGAGCCCCCCAGACTGGTGGCCAGGACCCGGGCACTGTGTGTGCCACTGAGAATCAGCTTGCGTGCCACCTTCGGCACGCGTACCATAGGTTGCCTACCCCTGATCTAGTGGCGGGGAGTTCCATAGGACCCTGCTGTAGCCCCTCCCCATGCTTGTGTCTCTGCACAGATGCCAACTTCACCGTGGTGCAGTCTCCATCCGAGGTGGGCGTCATCCGGGGAGACAACGCCACCCTGAACTGCACCTTCTCCCGGGGCCTGTCCCCGGACAAGGGCGCCGTCTCCTGGTCCCGAGGCGGGCCGGGAGGAGAGGCCGCTGTGCCCCTGAGAGCCCGTTTCACGCTGGCCTATCCCGACACCTTCCTGCACAGAGGGGAAGGGACCCTGGCCATCACCAACGTCAGCCTGGAGGATGCTGGAAAATATGTCTGCCGGGTGCTGCTGTGGGGCACCGGGGAGGCACGAGGCAACGGGACCCAGCTGCGTGTTTATGGTAAGGGCCCCTGCTTGAGTCCTTCGGGGAAGGCTGCAGGGATGAGAACTGCTCTGTGTGTGTGCTGCCCCCTGCTGGAGGGGATGAGAACTGCTCTGTGTGTGTGTGTGTTGCTCCCTGCTGGAAGGGATGAGAACTGCTGTGTGTGTGTGTGTGTGTGTATGTGTGTGTGTGTGTGTGTGTTCCCCCCTGCTGGAAGGGATGAGAACTGCTCTGTGTGTGTGCTGCCCCCTGCTGGAAGGGATGAGAACTGCTGTGTGTGTGTGTGTGTGTGTATGTGTGTGTGTGTGTGTGTGTTGCCCCCTGCTGGAAGGGATGAGAACTGCTCTGTGTGTGTGCTGGCCCCTGCTGGAGGGGATGAGAACTGTTCTGTGTGTATGTGTGTGTGTGTTGCCCCCTGCTGGAAGGAATGAGAACTGCTCTGTGTGTCTGTGCTGCCCCCTGCTGGAGGGATGAGAACTGGTTTGTGTGTCTGTGCTGCCCCCTGCTGGGGGGGCTGAGAGCTGCTCCAGGCATGTGAGATTAGAACCAGCCAGTCCCCCGCCCTGGGGCCAGGTTGGAGCTGGCACCCCCTGTTGGGGAAAGGCCCCGTGTCCCAGTCCACTCTTGCAATGTCTTTATGACTCTTTCCCAAGATGTGTCAGTTTGATTATTTTTCTCCCGCTCTGTCGATCTGTCTCCCCCTCCCCCATCTGTCTGTCCCATTCCACCCCAGCCCGACCCTCCCACCCAGTTGTTTTCCTCCAGTTCCACCCGAAGCCGGAGTCGAAATGGACCCTGGTTTGCAGAACCGCTGGTTTCTACCCCCCACCTGCCCGGCTTGCCTGGTACCAAGGGAGTGTCCGTCTGCCCTCAACCCAGCCACTGCAGGAGTGTGGGGACCCGACCGGACCCCTCCAAGCTTCCACCACCCTGGACTTACCCTCATCGGGGCCCAGAGCCACCTACACCTGTCAGGTGATGCACCCGTCCCTGCAGAATCCCCTCAGCACTGACTACACCTATGGTGAGTAGGGGGAGACCAAAACCTCTCATGTAGCAGGGAGTCCTGTGGGCTGGCCCCGCTCACATCCAGTGGTGGAGAGTCCTATGGGTTCCCCCTGCTTGTGTTCAGTGGAGGGGAGTCCCATGGGTTCCCCCTGCTTGTGTTCAGTGGAGGGGAGTTCCATGGGTTCCCCCTGCTTGCGTCCAGTGGCAGGGAGTCCTGCAGGCTGGCCCTGCTCATGTCCAGTGGCAGGGAGTCCCGCGGGCTGGCTCCGCTCATGTCCAGTGGCAGGGAGTCCCGCGGGCTGGCTCCGCTCATGTCCAGTGGCAGGGAGTCCCGCAGGCTGGCTCCGCTCATGTCCAGTAGCGGGGAGTCCCGCAGGGCAAGGAAACAATGGTGGTGATGGGAAAAGGTTTTGGGAGGATTCGAGGCTGCTGGCTAGATGCAGAGCATCTCACAGAGTGACAGGCCGGGGCGTTTGCCTCAGGACGGGCTGCAGGGCTGGTGGGTACCAGCAGGAGAGGGGAAGGCGCGGGGCATCAGCCCCATGTGCTCGGTACAGCTCATCTGTCTGGGGAGAGACCTGCAGGCCCTGGACTCGGCAGGGACACTGGGAGCCTCCTGGGGATCCGGGTGTCCCCTGCATCCTTAACTCTGGGGCTTTCCCCTTCCAGACCCGCAGCACCAGGACCCCCCCTCCCTGATCGCTGGCCTCAACCTCCTGAAAATAGCCCTGCTGGGGGTGCTCAGCCTGGGTGTGGGGCTGGCTGGTAAGAGACTCCTGCCCCCCCCCCCGGCCCTCCGGGCCCCTTCAAACTCTGTAGGGTAAATGCCAAAGGGCATCGGACCCCAAAGGCAGGGATGGGGAGGGAGACCCTAGTTGGGCAGGGACTGGGACACGGGGTCTTTCCCCTCTAGGGGGCGCTGGCTCTGATCCGGCCCTAGGGCGGGGGACTGGGACATGGGGCCTTTCCCCTCTAGGGGCGCTGGCTCTGATCCGGCCCTAGGGCAGGGGACTGGGACATGGGGTCTTTCCCCTCTAGGGGGCGCTGGCTCTGATCCGGCCCTAGGGCGGGGGACTGGGACACGGGGCCTTTCCCCTCTAGGGGGTGCCGTCGCTGGCTCTCACATGCACCCAAAGCAAGGCTCCCTGCAGTGGGTCTCTGGGGCGACTGAGGCAGGAGCCCCTCCCAGGGGTTAGATGCCAGGGGCCAGACACAGAGATGGGAGGGTCCGCTGCAAACCTGCTGGACTCCTAGCCACGCTCACGCCCCCTTTCTTCGTGGTCCTTCCTTCTAGCCTGGCTGAGGCCCTGCCTAGGGCGACGCCGCCCGCTCCAGGGGGGTGAGGCCCTGTCACAGAAGGAACCGGTCCTGTCAGTGCTGGGATTCACCACCAGAGGGCGCCCTTCCATGGGCTCCCCATCGCCAGGAGCTGCACCGGCTGCTTGGATTCAGGGGGGCTCGGGCAATAGAAGGAACTGAGACTCGGAGAGGGGGAAAGGACTTGGCCTGGGTCATCAGATGGGGAGAGAACCCAGGAGTCCTGGCTCCCCTCCCCCACTCTAACCACCAGACCCCTCTCCCCTTCGAGAGCTGAGAGAGAACCCAGGAGTCCGGGCTCCCAGCCACTCCATGCCCGCTCTAACCACTAGACCCCACTCCCCGCCCTAAGCTGAGAGAGAACCCAGGAGTCCTGGCTTCCAGCCTCCCTGTGACTCCCAGGGACTCCAGGGTGAGAGGCTGAGGGTGAACGACTGGGGGGTGGCAGACGGGAGGTGGGGGGTCAGGGGGAGAGTGATGACTCAGGCAGAGTGGATGAGGGTGTCCCCTAGAGGTTCAGTTCCTCCTGCCCTCACCCCCACTGCCCCGGCTCTGGCACGCCCAGGCTGAGCTGTGCCCATCTCTGATCAGTGTCCGCGCTGTGGATGGCACATTCCTGGCGGCCTTCGCATTCCCGCTGCAGCCAGGGCTCCTCCTTCCGCACTGCGGCCAGCTGCTTAGCATCCCGCCGCCTGACAGCCCCGGGAATCCCAGCGCGCACTGCTTCCCTGGCACAGTCTGCAGGAATCAGGACATGAACCCTGGCGTCCTGGCCAAATGCCATCTCACAACTCCCTGCAGCATGGCTGTGCGGCTCTTCCCCAGCTGCCCCGTCCCAGAGGTGGCTGCATCTTGGCGCCGGGCACACCCTCTCTGTTGTGTTGGCTGTTAAACATATAAGGGGATAACAGCCTACTACTCCTGCCAGCTGATGAGGTGAGTCCTTTAGCCCTCCATAATGGGATAACAGCCTACTAATGCAGCCTTCCTCCAGGTGGCCCACACAGCAGATCGCTGTGGGGCCTGTACTGATGTCTAAACTGTTCCGCTCTCTTCTGCTCCAGTGGAGATGGCGGCAGCAGTTAATAAAGCCCTTATCAGATGAAACAAGCCGAACAGAGCGCTGCTTCCCTTGTGCCCTCCCGGCAGTCAGGTTCCAGTGCCACGCTCTTATCTAAACCCTTGAGGTTGCCTGGCTCTCCAGATAAATTAATTTCCAAACAGCCCTTAGCGCGGAAATCAGAGGTTGTGCCACTTCCCCTCAGCTGGACGGAGACATAAATTCAAATACTGGGCCAGATCCCCTGCTGGTGACAAATCAGCGTCGATGTGGCTGATTGGCACCAGAGATCTGTCCCCATTGACCCCAGTGGAACTACGGCCCTGTGATGAAGTTGGGGATTTTTGTAGTGTTTTACATCAATAGCGGGTGCGCGCCTCAGTTTCCCGGTGTGCTGCATGTTTGGCAAGGTGGTGGGAGAGGGTTTGTTGTTGCAGAGGACCACATGTGAACTTGCCTAGCGGCCAGGACCCCCGGACAATGGCCTGGAGATGGGGAACCCTAACAACTGGTGACCTGGAGACTAAGACACCCACCCCAGTAGGAGGACAAAGGGCTGAGGAGAGAAGACCCCGGTGATGACCAACCAGTTCCAGCCAGAGGGGAACAAAGGACTGAAGAGAGAGGGCCTCAGCGACCTGTTTACCTGGGACGGAGGACAAAGGACAGGGGTCTCTGGGTTGGATGGAGAGAGCAGGCAAAGCCCACCTGGATGCAGGAGACACTTAGATGTACGGTGCTGAGGGAGGCCAGGCCTGAGGACCGGAGAGTTTCCTGTGCTGTGTTCAGACGCTCAATAAACCCTCCTGTTTTAGGCTGTCTGAGAGTCGCTCTGATCTAGAGAACAGGGTGGCATTATTCCCTCTGGGAGTGGTGGCCCTGGGGGTCCAGAGTGAGGGGAGTCCCTGAGGGGGCCCACGGCGAGAGACAGACCTGCTAAGGCTCAGAGAGGTGCAGTTCTAGGTGGCGGAGGGGCTTAACCCCCGAGAGAGAGTGCACCCCTGAGAAGGGCTGTCGCACTGAAGGGGGTCCCCAGGGACCATACGGGGCCAAGAATGGGCACGACCTCAGAGTCTGTGACAGGCCCATTGACCCCAGCTGGGGGTCTGGCCCTCAAGTTATAGCATCTTTCTGCCTAAAGCAATTGAGTCCACTTTACAAATTGCATGGAAATGGTGTGATCTAGTGATTAGTGGAGAGGGGGCTGGCAGCCAGGACTCCTGGGTTCCATTCCTGTGTCAATGTGGGCAAGTCATGTACATGCTTCTGTGCCTCAGTTTCCCCTCTGTATACTAACAAGATTTCCCGTATATTGCGGAGCTGCCAGTCATCGCTTGTTTCAAAGTCCTTTCGCACTCAGGGTGGAGGGTTTATTCCTGTCTCCCAGCCAGGTACATGGAGTGCTTTGCAAACATTAGCTAATTAAATGTTATTATTGTTCCGGGGGCTGGATCAATATAATTCTCCACGTTGTACAGGGGCGAGAAAAATGAGGCATAGATATGGGATAAGATACAGGCGAGCAAGGGCAGAGCTAGGAAGAGAACCCAGGTCACCTGACTCCCAGCCCCCGTTCTAACCACTAGACTCTGCACGTCTCCCAGAGCTGGGATAGAACCCAGGAGTCCTGATTCCCAGCCCCTCCTCATGCTAACCAGTCCCATTTGTAGGTGGATAGACCATTATCTCTCTCTGCCCCATTCACACACTCCACTATCTCCTCGATAACCAGACCATGTCACATTCTCCAGGATAGAAACCAGTGGCCCCTGATGGACTCCAAGCCTCTTGCTTCAATGCCCTGCGTCGGCCACTTTAATTAACTTCTCCTTGCCATGATTACAGAGCCTAATGAGGCACCTTTGGCTGGACACCTACTCACAGATGGGGACAAATCCGGGGGTAGCAGCAAAATGGATGATCAAAGTTTGAGATGAGGCCACCAGCAGGATGCATTTCCACGAGAGTCCACCAGGGGGTGGTGGAGGTGCCTGAGGCGTTGCAGTACCCAGCGACTCCGCCAGAGGGAGGCGTTGCAGTCTCACACTGCACAAACCCATGCCACGCACTGCCAGCAGGACGCCTCCCACCGCCGCGATCCATGAGAGCCAGCGCTCTCTGTCGCCCCCTCTTGCTGTGGAGGTGCACTGCCGGCAGCCACCCACCGCAGCGCTGCCTTGCGGCAGGAGGCAGAGGTGTGTGTTTTGGTACTGACGTGGAGGGTTTGAGTCCCAGCAGAGGATCCGTGAGAGGAAGGCCGTGTTGCTAATAATCGCAACAGGAAGGCACCCGATTTGTCCCAGGATGATGCTGTCCCAGTAGCCAGCTCTTCGTCCCTAAATCCCACAATGCTTTACAGGTCAGTGTCATTATCCCCACTGTACAGCGGGGGAAACTGAGGCACAAAGTGAGGCAGTGACTTGCATGGGGTCACGCAGCAGGCCACGAGATCTGGGCTCTGTCTGCTCAGCCTCGCAGGGCAGGGATTCCTTCGACACAGTGACCGGCAGAGGCCTTTGATGCAGAAGGGACTGGGGTATGGGGCCTAGAAATGGCTCAGCGGCGGGTTCCAGTCCTGACCTGAGCGTGTCATGAGGCTGGGGCTTTCCAGCTTGGTCCTGGCCCCAGAGAGGGGATCCTGAACAGCGGGGGAGAGAGGGCAGCTCTGAGAAGATGTGGATTTGGGAAGAGGACCCAGGAGTCCTGACTCCCAGCCCCATGCTCCAACCCACTGGACCCCAGCACCAGGGATAGAACCCAGGAGTCCTGCCCCACAGTCGAGTCAGTCTCTGGGGGCCGAGGGTGGGTGACTGCTGGCATCACAGCTTGGAGCAGCAAACCTGGCCGCCCCCAAGGCCTCTGCATTGCTCCTGGGGCGGTCCCGGTGTCAGTTTCTCCGTTCGGCGGTAGAAGACCTTCCTGGCCAAGGGGGGCAGGGAGCAGATGCCCCAGAGCCGGGCCAGGAACCTGCGGCAGGAGTGCTGGACGGCGGAGGAGGAGAAGTAGAAGATGACAGGATCCAGGCTGGCGTTGAAGGTGCTCAAGAGCAGAGCCTTGTCCCGCCAGGACGGGCTGGCCCGCTGGACGAAGCCCACCACGTGGGAGACGTTGTAGGGCGTGAAGCAGACGATGAAGACGGCCAGGGTGGCTGCCACCAAGCCCACGGCCCGCTGCTTCTTCCCCCGGCGGATGTGGGGCGAGGAGACCACCACCCACACGAAGCCGCAGTAGCAGAAGGAGGTGAGCAAGGAGGGCACCAGGAAGAGGACGATGCCCAGCTCCAGGCGCACGGGGAGCAGCACCTGCAGCTGGCTGGGGGTGAAGTCATCGTAGCAGACGCCCTTGGAGGAGGCGCTGGTGCCGTTGGCCGGCCCGCCGCCTGGCTGCAGCTCGGTCACGTAGACGATGCTGCAGTGGGCCAAGGAGCAGAACCACAGGCCCAGGCTGGCCAGGGCGGCGTAGGCGGGTCGGCGGCGCAGCTTGTAGCGGATGGGGTAGGCCGCGGCCAGGTAGCGCTCCACGCTGACGGCCGTCAGGAAGAGGGTGCTGGAGTAGATGGTGCTGAAGTAGAAGAGGCCGCTGAGGGGGCAGAGGAAGGCGGGCAGCGGCCAGCGCCCAGCCCGGGCCTCGGCCACCTTGAAGGGCAGGAAGGCCAGGAAGCAGAGGTCGGAGAGGGTGAGGTTGAGCAGGAGGATGCAGTTGGGGGTGGCCTTGCACCGCAGCTTGCGGATGAGGGCGTGCAGGGCCAGCAGGTTGGTGGGGAAGCCGGTCAGGATGGTCAGCAGGTAGATAGAGAGGTACAGGGCGCGCTCCTCGGGCTGCGGGGCCATGCTGGGGAGAGAGCGGAGACAGGGTCAGCGTGGGACTTGGGGCCTTTCCCTTCGAGGGGGCGCCGGCTCAGTGGGGGCAGGGAACGGGACGTGGGGCCTTTCCCCTCCAGGGGGCGCCGGCTCAGTGGGGGCAGGGAACGGGACGTGGGGCCTTTCCCCTCGAGGGGGCGCCGGCTCAGTGGGGGCAGGGAACGGGACGTGGGGCCTTTCCCCTCGAGGGGGCGCCGGCTC